AATCCGTATTGTTGACTTCATTATGGTCATCGAAACTAAGTTCTTCATGTATGCTTTAAATTGATTTTATTGTTTTGTTTTTATTGTTGACTTCATCTATGCACCATGGATATCTTTTTTTCTTCAACATGGATATCCTTTTCTAACATACATTTATATGTGATTCTAGCCTTCATTGCAACAATGCTAACTGTTTCTGTGCAGCTTTGTGGTCCTTTGTCCTCGTGTACCTTTTTCAGGTGCTACTGTGAACTCAATCTCTCTATATTATATTCTCTTTATTGATTGTTTTGATATTTGTGAACTCAATCATTAATGTATTTGACAGACTGTTGGGCTTGATATAATACCTACCTTTAACGTGTAACTAAATCCATAGTGCTATTGTGACTGCTTTTATATAATGTTAACATAGTGCTATTGATTTTATATGATGTTAACAAAGTGCTACTGCTTTTATATAATGTTACATACTGATTTTATAGTGTTAAGATAGTGCTACTTCGTCTATTATATTGGATCCGACCTTCAGATCACTTGAACAAAACCTTCAGCTACTTCATCAATTTGTGAGGAGCATTGTGGGTCCTAATGTTTGTGAGAATGTAACAGACATTTTCCAGAACAGATGCCCAGAACAATTGAACAAAACCTGGATTGCTCTTATCCCCAAGATTGAGAGTCCAATGTTAATTTCTCAGTTTAGACCCATTAGTCTGTGCAATGTCAGCTACAAGATTGTGACTAAACTTTTAGTAACCAGGCTGAGACCCAAGCTGGATAAGCCGGTTGGTCCTTATTAAAGCAGCTTTATCCCAGGTAGCAGATGATTGACAACATAATCATTACACAGGAAATTGCACATTGTTTAAGAAAGAAGAAAGGTAAAGTGGGAAGCATGATTCTTAAAATTGATCTTGAAAAAGTTTATGATAGAGTCAGTTGGTCTTTTCTACAACGAACCCTTACTCATTTCAACTTTCCTAGGAGCTGGATTGATCTCATTATGAACTGTGTAACAAAGACTGAGCTGTCTATTTTATGGAATGGCTCCTCCTTAGAGCCAATTGTTCCCAAAAGAGGTCTTCGACAAGGGGACCCTCTTTCCCCTTATTTGTTTGTTCTTTGCATGGAAAGGCTAAGTCATATGATAAATGAACAAGTGCAGCTGAAGAACTGGAACGGACTTAAAGCAGAAAGATGAGGTCCTGTGATATCACACCTTATCTTTGCTGATGACATTATTCTATTTTCAAGAGCCCAGGATAAAGACTGTCATATGTTAAGGAAAGTTCTTGATGAGTTTTGTATGATATCTGGGCTTAAGATGAGCATCTAAAGTCTATGTTTCCCCAAATGTAAGAAGAGGAAGAGCATCTAAAGTTGGTAGGATCCTTGGCTTCCCTTTAATTGGGGATCTAGGTAAGTACCTAGGAATACCAGTTTTACATAAAAAAAAAGAATCCAAAGAACATTTTAAAGACATTATTGAAAAAATTCAGATAAGGTTTTCTGGATGGAAAGCTAACAACTTGACCATAGCAGGTAGGGCAACCCTGATTCAGGCTGTCACTGCTACTATCCCTAACTATGCTATGCAAACTCAATGGGTTCCCCAGTCCATTTGTGATCAAATTGATAGACTGAATAGAAATTTTCTATGGGGGGACACAGAAGAGAGGAGGAAAATTCACTACTTAAACTGGGACAAAGTGTGTTCACCCAAAGCTAGTGGGGGTCTAGGATTAAGGAAGAACAGAGATAATAATGCAGCACTCCTAGGGAAACTAGGTTGGGAACTTAGAGCTAATAATAATAAATCCTTATGGGTTGAGATTATGAAAAGTAAATACATTGCTATGAACACTGAACCTTGGAAAAAAAAGAACAATGCATCTCCCATATGGAATGCTATTTTGAAAATTTGTAACCCGTTATAAGCAGGTATAAAATGGATTGTGGGTGATGGACAAAACATTAACTTCTGGAAAGCTTGGTGGGTTGGTGGAAAACCACTTCTGCAGCAACTGAATCCCCAAACGAATATTGATACAGAGGTTAAGGTGGCTAACTTCATTGGCACAGATGGATCCTGGAATCTGCAATCCACAGGTATGATTCTTCCTCCTAATATTGTTCAAGAGATTTTGTTCATTCCACTGCCACAATTCAGCCAGCAACTTGATTCTATATCCTTGGGTAAGGCAGCCAATGGTAAGTTTTCATCCAAAAACTATTATAATCTCCTTACTGATAACACTTCTTTCACTGTCGTTGATAAGAGATGGAAACAGATTTGGGAAATGGAAATTCCTCAGGAGTTAAAGTTTTTTCTTTGGCTTGTCCTCCATGATAGAATCCCCTCAAATAAACTTAGAGCCGACAGAGGTATGACAGATGATCTTATGTGCAATAGGTGTAAAAACTTTGTTGAGACAACCATTCACATTTTAAGAGATTGTAGTAAGGCCCAAAGAGTCTGGAGCTATTTTCCTACATCACAGGAAAGACAGACTGATAGAAACCTGAGTCTTTCACAATGGTTTGAAAAATATTGCCTAACTACTAATGGGACCACTTGCAACAATATCATTTTGAAACAAAATTGCTCATGCAGTATCTTGCTTACTTGGGAGGCAGAGCTGAATCTGAGGGGAGGACTGTCGAGCAGCAAGTCCTGGGAGGTAAACCTTGCATTTCAGCCTGTCCAACAAGCTTAGACGAGGGACTGATTCATTCTGAGGCTAGATTTTAGATTTTTCACCACATAATTTAGTTCTTTAATTGTGTACAATATGTGTTTTGGCCTTATTTTCATTTGTTTTGCAGTCAAATCTGGTTCTAGAAGCATTCGGTAATGCAAATACAGTCAGAAACAACAACTCCTGGTGGGAACATTTTGCATTTATGGTGTAACTTCTGTATATGTGGCAAAGTTTCTCTAATACTGTTTGGTTGAATTATTTCCTTCTATCTCTTCATGCTATGTACGTTGCAGTCATTTCTGTAAGCTTGTGGAGACTGAAGATTGAATTTGACCGGAGAGGAAGGAGATCAAGGGCTGTTATCAAAACTTATCAGCCGGAAAGGTCTCATGTTTGTCAGGTGTCCGATCCTAAGAGGTACTATTATTGCTTCGGCATGCTTTGCTTCGCACCACCTGAGGTAACAAGTCTCTATTTAGTTGATCAAGATTTGCTTTATAGTAAAGAATAAATACTTGTTTGTAGCGCATTTCATTTTTTATGGAGTTGTTTATTTATCTTAACATAGAATTTTCATCCTTGGATATCACATGATACATGGCAAAGTGGTGCCCCAAAAAATATATGTGGCCAACCCCAGTGTTGAGTAGTAAATACTTTTCGTTACTACTAATCTATATAATAAAATAGAGCTGTTTTTGAATCAAAAGACAAAAAACGGAGCAGATTGTTTTAAGATAAAATAAAGGGTCATTTGACGGGCTACGTTACCCCAACATAATCATTTCAAAATTACTAATCTAATGAGCCAGAATGAGTCTAGAAATATTTTTTCCCGCCTAAACTTTTCATTTTGTCACCCTTAGTCAGGTCTTCAATCACTCCCCAAGGCTCCACTAAAATCTATTCCTCGTCTCCCCTTTTATCTCCTTTCTTAATCGAGCTTTCTTACACTCAATTTCTATCTCACATGTCTTTCTCAGATCGTCTCCTTCTCTTTCCTAAATATGCTCTCCAAACTATGACCTATGGTTGTGCCCTAAAATTCTCTCTCCCTTACTCATGTTCACTTTCTCAATGCACCCACGATCATCTCCCCCTATTGTTATTTTCTCTCTACCTTCTTCACTATTGCATCACTGCCCAATCCCTAATAGTTAGGCCTTCAACAACAAGCAGTGACGCATCTCTTCTCTCAGTTTACCTCTAGTGATAACCGCCCCTTATCTCTTCTCTCTGTGCCGCTGCACATCCACTGCCAATGAAAGCGAGCAGCTACCTAGCCGCTGCCTATTCCAAGTATCCTTCTCAATCATCCCCTCTTTCTCATGTATCTCCTCTCCGTTCATCTCTCTATATATGCACTCATGCTCATCCCCCCATAGCTATATTTTCTCTCTACCTTCTTCCCTATTGCGCCGCTGCCCAATCCCTAGCAATGACGCATCTCTTCTCTCGGTTCACCGTCAACGACAACCGTCCCTTTTTCTTCTCTCTCTATACTGCTGCATATCCACTACCAACGACTGCCAATTTCAGGTAGCCTTGTCAATCATCTCCTCTCTCTCTCACGCATCTTCTCTCTGTCCATCTCTCCCTCTTTCTATGCGCTTATGATCATTTCCTCCTAACTCTATTTCCTATCTAACTTCTTCCCTATTGTGCCACTGCCCAATGCCCAACTGTGATGCATTTGTTCTCTCAGTTTACCGCCAGTGACAACCGCCCTTATCCCTCTCTCTCTATGTCATTGCACATTCATTGCCAATGACAACCAGTAGCTGCTCCACCACAACCTATTTTAGGTATCCTTCTCAATCATCTCCCCTTTCTCTCTCACGCATCTCCTTTCTCTTTGTCACGCATCTCTTCTCTCTCAATCATTTCCTTTTCTCACTCTCTCTCCACAATCATAACCCCACTCGACAGCCCCTTCTTGTTCTTCCTAGGTCCTGTGTACCACCTGTTTGATAAATTGTCAAACCAATATTTTTTTTTTGTTTCAAAAAGTTCCTTCTGCCCTTTGCTTATGGACAGTGGGCTCATTTTTTTATGCTTTTTAATATCTTTTGCATGATAAAATGAATCAAGTGGATATTTGGCTAATCTTAAGATTGGTTTATCCGATTTAGTTATTTTCGGATTTTGAATTGACTTAGGTCCAAGTTGTGTTTGTAAAATCCGGTATTGTTGACTTCATTTATGGTCATCGAAACTAAGTTCTTCATGTATGCTTTAAATTGATTTTATTGTTTTGTTTTTATTGTTGACTTCATCTATGCACCATGGATATCTTTGTTTCTTCAACATGGATATCCTTTTCTAACATACATTTATATGTGATTCTAGCCTCCATCGCAACAATGCTAACTGTTTCTGTGTAGCTTTGTGATCCTTTGTCCTTCTCGTGTACCTTTTTCAGGTGCTACTGTGAACTCAATCTCTCTATATTATATTCTCTTTATTGGTTGTTTTGATATTTGTGAACTCGATCATTAATGTATTTGACAGACTGTTGGGCTTGATATAATACCTACCTTTAACGTGTAACTAAATCCATAGTGCTATTGTGACTGTTTTTATATAATGTTAACATAGTGCTACTGCTTTAATATAATGTTACATACTGATTTTATAGTGTTAACATAGTGCTACTTCATCTATTATATTGGATCCGACCTTCAATATGTAACTTAGTATGCTTTTATTGTGGATTGTTTCGCAATGGCTTTTCATTTCTTCCCAACATTTTGGACCATGACCAGTTAAGATCACAATCTATGATATGGTGGCGGCGCATAACTAAAATGGGTAATGATATGGATACATCTTTTTAGTAGTTAAATTAATTTGTTTATCAGTGTGTAGGTTGTGGTAATTCTAGGGCTGGGTGGTGCTGCCATTGGTGATTTTCTACCACCTGTGGCCATTTATTGGAGTAAAACATTGGAGTTGAGGATGAGTTATGGGAGGATTTTTTGAGTCTTCTTGTATTCACTCAAAGAAACATTGCTAGCTCTTGAAACGCCGAGGTACTGATGAAATTGCACAGGTATCTCTTGAACTGTTTTACTTCTCTTATACGAGTCTATTCCATTATGTGCATTTATCTATAGCCTAGATTCTAGGGTAAGAAAAGTAGGAAAAAAGGCACAGTTCATTTTATTATGTCGAACTTTTGGATATCTGTGAGTATTGCATTGAACTTACTAACATGTGATTTTTCTCAAGTTATTGAAAAAATTATATGATTGTACAAAAGCATTTCAAGAAATTTTCGCAAGAGAGATGTAGTTTTTAGAAAGTAGAGAATTCATGACTTTTAGAGCTTATTTGACATCATGTAGGTTTCCCCCTTTTTTTTTAATAGAAGTGTATGGTTGTGATCCTGATCCGACAATTGAGAGGAGGCCTTCTGCCTTCCTGCTTCGGGACTGAGAGGGGACCACAGTGAGTGGCATTTTTTATTGTGTATGTTTTTTGATTGAATCAAGTTTGGAATATTTGAGATACCTTTAAATGCGTCAAAACTATATTTATAATACGTTGTTATACTACTATATTGCTCGTCTTTGTTTGGCTATATTGTTAGCTAGAATGTTTCACATTTTTTTTGGGTATGTTTGGTGAAATCAGTTGACTAATAATTGCTAATATTTTGTGAACGATCGATCTAGGTTATAATTAAGTTGAGACAATGTTTAATTTTAGAGGACTTTATTGTAAATTTAGTTTATTTCGTAGATTTTTTATACATTTTTGTTTATTAGTCAGTTTAACGGTGGTTATTTTATGTTCAATTTCTTAAGAAAACGCCATAGATTCCTCTAAAATTAAGTTCCTTGCAGTAATGTAATTACTCCATCAATCAAGGTCAATTGTTGGTTTGGTTCCAAAGGTGTGGTAGGCTTACATGTGTGGAAGTGGGAATTGAAGTTCAATTTTGATCATTGTGTTGGGATATTATTTCAATTTCACACAAATCTTATATTATTTTTCCATGCTGCTAGGATCTTCAAAGGTGCAAAGTGGAAAATCCAAGAACGTTTCATTATTTGAATCAATTAAATTGTTACGAGTTAGATGGCATTGATGATTCTAAAGAGTATATTGCTACAAGGAGGGCGATGGATGTTGTTGGAATTAGTACCGAAGAACAGGTTTTTGTTTAGAGTTGGTTAATATGGGAAACATGATTCTTCCATTTAAAATCTATCATTTAATTCCTTCTTGTTGATTTTCTTCCTTCCTCGATCGGGATGTGATTTTTCGATTTGTGACTGTAATTTTCCATCTCGGAAAATATTAAATTTGTGAAGGAAAAGACAATTGACTCGTTTGTGCCCAAAACGAATTATATCCCTAACAATTAAAGCAAGAATAGCACAGATCAGTATCCTAAGTGATAGTATAGGACAGTTCGAGGGATTATATCCCTAACAACTAAAGCTAGATATTTGTTCTTTTCTTTGTTTTTTTGGTATAGGATATGATATTCTCTACCCTTTTTGAAATTTTACCCTTGCAATTGGCAAGGTCATGCCCAGTTCTTTGTGTACTAAATATAATTAAGGTTGTTGCCATACTGATTAAAAGGTTGTCTTTAAATGTTCCACTTTCTAGTATTTTCCTATACCCCCACATATATATTTGCGAAGAAAATATAAATTAACAGATTTTAGCCTGTTTTGGAAGTAAGCTTAATACTGGGGAGGGACGTTCAATTTCTTTTTTCGAGGTAGAACACACTAGATTCACAAACTACAAGTGGTTCATGTTTTTCCTTCTTTCGTCTTCGTCACGAAAGGTTGCAGCAACTACACATTCTTCTGTAGCATCATCGGTAGAAGAAGAAGAAAATAGTTCAATCCTGGTGACGAAAGTTCCGACTATTGCTTCTCAATTATCCAAATATGCCTCCTTATTTTCTCCAAAAAGGGGAATAGTTGTTAGGGAAGGAAGTCGAAGTTGGCCCCAGAAATTGGATTCAACAGAAAAAGTTTTGGGTCAAATTTATTGCATCCGGTGGTGGTGATGGTGATGATCAACTGCACCACCCTCCATGATCTAACTTTGAAAGCTTCAAGTTATGAACTGTTTCATTAGAAAAGTCACAGAAACTTACTTGTTTTCCAATCTGAGTTTGAGGAAGCATTAGCCAGGGAAATTCAATACAAGTTCTCTGAATGTGTTCGCTTAGAACAAGAACTCTCCACATTGTGTAAACACTGCCCATGCGGATGCGATCAGTTAGAGTAAATCGTTCTATGACGATCATCTCCATGATATCTATAGGGATATCATGCCAACAATCACTGTATATAATATTTTGATTATTTTTCTTCTTTGACACTCTATTGCTGCGACTTTGAGGAAAGATGATGGACTTGATGAAAGAAGACCAACTAAGTGAAAGATATTCTCCCAAATTTTTGATACGTCAGTGCAGCCATTTCCAACCTTTCGTATCGAGAAATGTAAAGAGAGAGGGAATGGGTAAGGGCGAACCCAAATACTCTTGAGAAGAACAAGCAAGGCGTTTTTCGCACAATAAATGAGATGACAAATCTCTCACCTAGTGAGCTCGAGTTTGCCTGGAAATAAATGTTAATTTCGTGTTAATTTGATTAATTTAATATTAATTGGATTAAATTTTATATTAATTCGATGAATTTAATGTTAAATAATTGAAATTGAATGCTAATTTAATGAATTGAATGTTTATTAGGGGAAATTGAATGTTAATTTGTTGAATTGAATGTTAATTTGGTATTAATTTGATTAATTAAATATTTATTTGGATAAATTGAATCCAAATTTGATTAATTTGGATGAAATTATATGTTACTTTTATTTTGATTTGATAAATTGAATCTTTATTTGATGAGTTTTGATGTTAACAGTTCGTCTGAGATTATTTAAACACAAATTAAATATTTTATGGACTTAATTCATAAATTGATAATTTAGAGACCAAACTGACAAATGTGTATAACTTTAGGGATAAAAGTGTTATTAACCATTGGTAAAATTAGGATTGATAGTAGGAAGTGGTCCTAATTAATACTTTTATCCTTGAAGTTATACACATTTGTCAGCTTTGCCTTTAAAATATCAATTTAGTTTTTAAAATATTCAATTTTTGTTTGAATACTTCGAGATGAATCTTTAACATCCAAAATCATTCAATAAAGATTTAATTTATCAAATCAAACCAAAAAAACATGCAATTTCAGTTAATTAATATTCCATTCATTAAATATACATAAAATTATAACTTTTGGGTTCTGTTACAACCAAAAGTTATTGCATATAAAAGAGCATGAGCGCGAGTAAGAGTAACTCGATTATTTTACATATAAAATAACAGAGTTTGGTGAGTTTAAATTGAGCTATATTAGGCTCGTTTTTTTAAACGAGTTTAAAAAATTGTTCAAGTTCAACTCATTTAAAACATAAGTCGAGTTCGACTCGAGTTTCATCTAAACCGAACCCGAGTATCTCGTCTCGACTAACATCCTTAATTGTGGAATTCATCTAAAATAGAGTAAAAAAAACCGGCTGAAAGTCTAATTAGTCATCCTTGATTCTTCTCGTTGCAAGTTCAATGAGTTAATTGATTTTTCACGTCTTTCCTTTGGGAGATTTTTTTACGTCAGACACTCCCCCTGAGCACCCCCCCAACTCCATAATATATACGATAAGTTTATAATTAATATATATTTTTTAAATTAATACGGTATTAAATTTATTTATTAAACAAAATATTATACCCGATTAAATAAAAAATAGTATAATTTAATATTTAATTACCTTATAATACGCCTATCAAATGAAACCTTAGAATTTTTAACGTCAGAGAAATAAGCAAATGAGTTTTGAGATTTAATTTAAAGTAAAATGCATCTATCAGTTGATAATTATCACAAATTACACCTACTCGAACAATGATGACAAAAAACCCTAATTATAACAAAACAAAGAACGCCCACAAAATCCTAAAAACCCACGCTTCAGATTGCTAAAAAACCCACGGTACCTAGTTAACAACGTCTTCTTAGCGGAGTGTAGGTGGCAACGAGAGAAGGTAGCAAGTGACTAGCGAGAGAGAGAGAGAGAGAGAGAGAGACCATCTGAAATAGATTTAAGACTAAGATGGGAGTATGTATATATTTATATAAAAATTAACGGGTTTAGCAAGGGGACAGGGTAGAGGTGAGGCGGGTCTAAGTGTCAGTTTAGCTCCACATAAATTTGTATAAATATTTTTATATACGTTCACCGTTTAATACTCATGATTCATCCCAGTTCAAACGTGACGGATTTGAACGAATCTTCGTTTTTTTTCGAACCACCGGAAGTCCTGGTGCAGGTAGTTTTTTAAAAGGACAAAGATGATGTTTTTAAAGATTAAATGGAATATAACTAATGGACATTCAGTTTAACAGTAATTTATGTAATATTTTTTTTTTGGGGCCCCCCCGCCCCTGGGGGTTTGGCAGTGGCTTGCTTGATGAAAAATAAGGAAAGAGCACCCAGGCAAAGTTGGGCTTTCAATGCAAAAGACAATTCATTACATCGTGATCAACTTATTGCTAAGCGAGGACAAGGTTACAAGGAGATAAAGCTACAAGATAAAAATGAAATTACAAGGAAATTATAGTTTCCAAGTGGTGGTAAACCTATCTAATATCATAATTCATGGGTTGGATTACGATATTGAAATTTATAATTTTTTAGGATTAGTTACGATAAAAAAAAGTTAGAACCAACAATCAAAAGAATAATTTTATATTTTTATGTGTTCACATTATAACTTTTGGGAATTAAATAATAATTTTTGGTTTTAGAGGTGCTTAGTATCGATCTTAATGTTTCAAGACTGATCCTAAATAACCAAATATGTTATTAAACATTAAAAATTTGTAAGTTAATTCCAAAAGATAGTAATCTTTGCTTACCTAGCCAATGAATAGGGATGACAGTAAACAGAAGCGAGTCGGGGGCGTAGTCTCTATCCTTGTAGTCGTTTAAAAAAAATTCTTCTATCCTCGGTCCACTCCCGTTAACAAGTATAGTTTTTATCTCCATCCTCGTCCGCGTGTAAATTTATAATTCCCACCCTTGACCCCGCCTTCACCTCCGCCCCCAACCCCACCCACATCCACCTTACCAGCTCAAGCTCAAGCCCAAGCCCAAGCCCAAGCCCAAGTCAATATAATTTAAAATTCTAAATAAATCTAGTATTCTAAATAACCTAACATAATTATAGAATATCATAAAATAATTAAAACCTTATCTACAACATAATTCAATATAATATAATTAAAAATTTGTCTTCCTTGTAAATCGAACACAATATCATGCAACACAACAAAATATAACATAACATAATCAAGCATAAAAAAAATAAAAACACAAATATCTACACTTTTACAAATCAAAACCATCAAAAAAATAAAAAAATAATAATTTTCAAAAGCAAAAATTATTTAATAATATGTAAATTTGTATTTACACCATGTGTATATATATAAATATAAAATAATAATAATAATAACGGATAAAACGGAACAGAGAAGGGTGAGGCGGGGGTAAGTGTCAGTCTATCTCCGTCTTCATCCCCATGCGGATTTATATGGATATTTTCGTATATATCCACCGTCTAATACATATGGTCCATTCCCGATCCATATAAAACAAGTTTGGATGAATACTTATTTTTACTCGATTTATTGTCATCCCTACCGATGAACTTTGCCCAAGTGGTTTGGTAAAAAAACAAAAGAGTTAATTTGCAAAATACCTCATTCAACTTTGTTTTGTTTGTTATTCATCCCTTCACGTTTTAATTTTAATAAATTGTCCCTTTTAAGTATGATACTAAGACATAATTACCCTTGAAAACAATATGTATGTGTGCGCTCTTATGTCTTATTGTTGGGTGGAGCTGGAGGCGGAGGCGGAGGCAGAGGCGAAGGTGAGCGTACCTAGTATTGTACAATATATTGGTATTGGGTTGAACATGTTTATTTATTTATTTTCGTTTTCTTGTTTTTTAGGGATAAAATTGGTCTCTCGAGAAACAAGTAAGAAAAAATGATGTATAAAATGGAGGATGCAATGATATTTTCATATTCTAACCACTGTTGTCAATTAATTTAATCTACTTAAAACTTGGAGGAGATAAATTGCATCATTTGAAACCATAAGAAATTGATTGTAACAAGTTGCATAGTTGGAACTAAAACACAATTGCAGCTTTTTTTTTTAATTGATGAATCAGACAGCGACATAACTTTTAGCAGGTGGGAGATAGGAGACAATAATTGATGCCTCCAAAGTTTGACAAAGGCAACCCATTTGAATATAAAAAGCAAGGAGTAGACAATTCATTACAGAATCATCCACAAATCTATACTACTTATAAAAAAATTTTGATTTCGTATTCTATTCCTAATTATTATACTAAAGTCAATTATACCCACCTATAATCTTTCATCTAATTTTTACTTTTTAGTCCTATTGGACTTTTAATTTATTTTGGACTCTTTTATAAAGACTTCTAAATTCTTTTGGATTCATTTATTAGTAATACAGTTACATAAAATTTTCTATATGTATATAAAGAAGCAAAGTCATATATATGTTAAATTCTCTATATCTATATCTATACTACTTATAAATGTCAGTATTTGTGAAAAAATTTTGATTTTCTATTTTATCCCTAATTATTATACTAAAGTCAATTATACCCACCTATATTTTTTCATCTAATTTTTATTTTTTAGTACTATTTGATTTTTAACTTATTTTGGACTCTTTTATAGAGACTTCTAAATTTTTTTGAACTCATTTATTAGTAATACATTTGCATAAAATTTTCTATATGTATATAAAGAAGCAAAGTCTTATATATGTTAAATTATTAAATACATGTAAATATCAATTTGAATTACACATTCAAATATATATTATATTTTATTTTTTAGTATGAAAATAAGATAATAATATTATAAGTGATCTAATTCTATTTTATCCCTAATTATTATATTAAAGTCAAGTATATCCACCTATATATTTTCATTTAATTTTTATTTTTTAGTCATATTTGACTTTTAACATATTTTGGACTCTTTTATAAAGATTTTTAAATTCTTTTGAACTCATTTATTAGTAGTACAGTTACATAAAATTTTTTAAATGTATATAAAGAAGCAAAGTCTTATATATGTTAAATTATTATACACGTGTAATTACCAATTTGAATTACACAGTCAAATATATATTTTATTTTATTTTTTAGTATGAAATAATATAATAATATTATTAGTGATCTAATCAATCTATTTAACAAAAGAAAACTTAATAATTCTACAATATAATTAAATAAACAAATGACTAAAGGGATGTGAGAGATATCTAAATAAATGATAGATTAGTTATTCAAAGACTTATAAAATAAATAAATAATTAAATTTTGTAATAATTAAAATATAAATTAATTATTAGGCACTTAATTTATTTTTTAATTTAATTACTCATATAATTCAAATTTTTTATAAAAAATATTATTTAAATTTATTTACGTGCAACATACGCCGTGCATTGTTAGTTATCTATCAAGTATCCACTTATTTTATTGACATACCAGGAGACAAAACTATAAGATATAGATGAAATTACAAGGAAATTATATTTTTGGGTGGTAAGTAATCCCATCCAATATCATAATTCATAGATTTGACTAAGTACCGAAATCTACAACTTTCGAGGTTTAATTTTACAATAAAAAAAAAGGGTAGAGTCGATCATACGAACTTATTACACGCTATCATGAATTATTTAAATGGAAATGATACAATGTTTCTCATTCAAAGGTTGTTAAATGTTAACTAGTATTGTGGATTGGGGTGTTAATTGAGCCGAATTTTATAAACTTGAACTCGAGATTAGTAAATTTGTTTTTTTAAACGAACTTAAAAAATTATTCAATCTTGATTTGTTTAGAATTCGAACCAAGCCCGAGTCCGAGCCTAGTCCTATTACTGGGCCCCACATATTATTTTTCCTAATCCCACCTCCTTATGTATATAATTATATAAAAATTAATAGGTTTAGCAAGGGGCAGGGAGAGGCAGAGCGGGTGAAAGTGTCGGTCTACCTTCGCACAGGTTTATACGGGTATTTTTACATACGTACTCTTTCTAATACATATAGTTCATCCTGATTCAAATGAGACAAGTTTGAACGAATCTCTATTTTTCTTTGGTCTCCTGACATCCGAGTGAACCAACAGTTTATTAAAAGGATAAAAGTGATGTTTCTTAAGATGAAATGGAATATGACCAATGAACCTTCGGTCGGCAATATTTTTCTCCCAATAATTGATGCCTCCGAAGTTTAACAAAGACAGCTAGCTCATTTAAATTTTAAATGCAAAAGACAATTGATTGTATCATGATCAAACTTATTGATATGCGAGTACAAGGTCACAAGGAGATAAAGCTATAAAATAAAAATGAAATTACAAAGGAAATTATAATTTTCGGTGGTAGTAAACCCATCCAATATCATAATTCATGGGTTTGACTACCATATCGAAATTTATAATATTCGAGGGTTTAGTTACAGTAAAAAAAAGTTGGAACCAAACAAACAAAAGTATAATTTTATATTTTTATGTGTTCACATTACAACTTTTTGGAATTAAATTACAAACTTTGGTTTTTGAGGTGCTTAGTATCGATCTTAATATTTCAAGGTTGATCCTAAATAATCAAATAAGTTATTAAACATTACAAATTTGTAAGTAAATCCCAAAAGATAGTAATCTTTGCATACCTACCAAGTAGCCCATGAATAGGGATGACAGTGGACTGAAGTGGGGGCAGGGGTGTATTTTTTATCCCTATTATCGAGTATAGTTTTCATCTTCATCCTCGTTCGCGGATAAATTTGTAATTCCTGCCCCCACTCCCGTCCACCTTACGCGCCCAAGTCCAATCTCAAACCAACATAATCCAAAATTATAAATAAATCTTACATTCTAAATAATTCAACATAATTATAGAATATCATAATATAATTAAAAGTTTGTCATTTATAACATAATATAATTAAAACTTTATCTACAATATAATCTAACATAATATAATTAAAAGCTCATCTCCTTTGTAAATCCAACACAGCATCATGCAACACAATATAATGTAATCCAAAGTAAAAAAAAAACATAAAAACACAAAAATTTACAATTTTACAAGTTAAAAACATGAAAAAAAAAATCAACAAACAAAACAATTTTCAAAAGAAAAAATTATTCAATAATATGTAAATTTGTATTCACAACAACATATATAATAATAATAATAAATAATAATAATGGATAAAGCAGGGTAGAGTGAGGATAAATATCAGTCTATTCCCGCACGGGTATATATGAATATTTCTGTGTACATCTACCGTTCAATACGTATGATTCATCCTTGCTCTAAACAGATGAAATTTGGACAAATATCTATTTTTATCCGGTCTACTCTCATCCCTCTTTATCTTCTTGTCACCTTGTCCTCGCATATTAGTCAGTTGATCATGATGCAATAAACTGTCTTTTGCATTTAAAATTTAAGTGAGCTAGCTGTTTTTGTTAAACTTTGCAGGTATCAATTTTTGTCTACGGTCCCCCACTTGGTAAAAGTCATGCTCTTTTGGGAGAAAATATTCCCTGCTCGACTTTGTCTTGAGTGGCCAATAATGGCGTGTAGTTATGCTCTTTCATTATTTTTTATCCGGCGAGCCGATCCCCACCCCCATCCTTCCCTCCTTTCCCAAAAAAAAAAAAAAAAAAAGACAAGGGGTGCCATTACCTTAGACCAAATGTCCGTTAGTCATATTCCATTTCATCTTAAGAAAAACATCACCTTTGTCTTTTTACTAAACAATTGGTTCCCTAAGATGTCAGTGAATTAGAGAAAAAAGTCTCATTTGAATTGAAAATTAATCATACGTATTAAATAATAAACATATATAAAAATATTCATATAAATTCGTGTGGAGATAGACCGACTCTTACTCCTGCCCCGCCTCTCCCTACGCTCACTAAACCCACTCAGACGGATCATCTGATTGACTTTTACCACTGCCCCACCTCCGGACAAATCCTTTATGTGTATGTACAAATATATACATCCTCCCATCTCAGTTATAAATCTAATTCAGACAGCTCATCCCTTAGGTCTCACACCGCCCACACAACTTGCCCCCTCTCTCTCCCTCTCTCTCTCTGCCTTCTCTCATTGCTGCCTACTCTCCGCAAAGAAGACGTTGTTGACTAGGTAACGCCTACTCTCTCTTTATCTATCTATCTTCTTCTCTGCTTTAATTTGGCCGTTGACCAAGTATTGCTATCATCTCCTTTAATTTGGTGACTTGTTGTAGGAATACTAGTTTTGTTTAGACTATTGAACATTTCAGGCATGGTGAATTCTATTTTTGGTTTTTTAGCAAATTGAAAGTGTGGTTTTTTAGAATTTTGTGGGCGTTCTCAGTTTTGTTATAATTAAGATTTTTTTTCATCGTTGTTCGATTAGGTGCAATTTGTGATTAATTATTAATTGATAGGTGCATTTTACAGTGAGTTAAACCTCAAAACTCATTTGCTTATTTATCTGACATTAAAAATTCTAATAGTTTTAAGTGAAGGATTAAAGGTAAATGTTGTAATAAATGATCCGTTTGTTTAGTAAGATAATGCTAGAAAATACAATAGAAAATTTTAAAATTTTACATGGATTTTTTTAGCATAAAATAGAAAATTATAGAAAAATAATTTTCTTCCATACTTAGATTTTCTCACATCTAAATAACTTTTTTTCTTGCAAAAAACACAAGGAAAACACAAGAAAGTTGGGTTCAATAATCAAACTTTTCATTTTATCCTTATTTTTCTTAAAATATTCAATTAATTATTAATTTTAAAAAAATTTGTACAAATTAGACTAACCATATAATTTTGTCTAGAAATTAGGGTTCGAGTCGATTCTTGTCTCTGAATTAGGTTAGGAGCCAATTTTTTAAAAATTTGAATAACAAAAAATATTTTTTTCTTTTTTAGACCGTGTTAAAATAATTAAGGATAATTTTGACAATTAAAAAAAAAATTATTGTAACTTTCTTTTCTTTTAAACAATGAAATAAAATTATTTTAAAATTTTCTTAAAAATTTTTCATGCTAACCAAATGTATATATGAAAATATATTTTCTTTTTTTTCATTTTATTTTCTATTTCTTTTATTTTTAATCATCTTTTTTTTACTAACTAAACGGATCCAGAATATTTTTTAATAAAATTAGTTGAATTATTTTGTCCTTTTAAAATTGATGCTTGATAGATAATTAGTGGATGAGGATGCAATGAATTGATTTTTCCTTTTAAAATTCAAATGGGTCGTCTTTGTCAAACTTTGGAGGCATCAATTATTGTCTCCTTTTTCCCACTTGCTAAAAGTTATGTTATCGGCAGTCAGATTCACCAATAAAAAAAGTAGTAGTTGCTTTTATACCAAACCGCTTGGGCAAACTTCCTTGGCGACCGGGTATGCAAAGATTACCTACTTTTGGGATTAACTTACGAACTTTTAATGTTGAAGTTATAACTGATCGATCATCCTGCAAAATTAAAGTTTGTAATTTAATTTTAACAAATTATAAGAGTAATGTTAGATAGACTTAAAAATTAAACTTGATAAGTTCAACCATTGAATAGGTAATAGGTCCCAATAAATACTGGAACCTACAGTGAAATCAATAGTTGAGATTTTTTAAATGTATTTTTTAAATCTACGTAATGTTGCTCAAATTATAATGTAATCCCATACAATTGTATTTTTGTATGATCGATATTAACTATTTTGTATTATAACTAAACCCTCAAAAATGGGTAACTATAACCCATGAATTATGATATTGGATGGATCACTGTGATTTCATTTTTATCTTATTAGCTTTTCTCCTTGTCGTCGCATCATATCAATAAGTTGATACTTGATAGTTAATTTGTGGATCATTATGCAATTCAAATTATGATAGTTGTCTTTTGCTTTTAAGATTCAAATGGGTTGTCTTTGTCAAACTTTGGAGGGAACAATTGTTGTCTTCTATCTCCCACTTGCTAAAAATTATTTTTTTTTTTGGTCATTGGCTGTCAGATTCACAAATTAAAGGAGATGAAAAAGCTGCAATTGTGTTTTGTTTTATACCAAAACCCATGGGCAAGAGCAAAGGCAAAGCTCCGTGGTTACCTAGTATGCAAAACTTATTAAGTTTTGAGATAAACTTACAAATTTTTAATGTTCAAGTTATAATTTTTTGGGCTATTTCTAAATGTTAATAAATAGTGAATAATTTATTATTAGTTTGATTTATTATAATTATTGAATAGTTGTTGGATCTCAATAAATATTAAAATTCACAGTTAAATTAATGATTATTACAATAATTGAATACTAAATCTTGTTTTGATCACAGATAAACCTTCAACTGTTTTAGACTACTCCTCCCAAAGCCTATCTGAAGAAGAGAAAGCCAATTATAGCGAATGGCTGAGGTTGCAGTATCCTTCTTGCTCGATCAACTAGAGCCCTTCCTGCTCGAAGAGGCAACAACGCTTATATGTGGTGTCGAGGAAGACGTTAAGCACATCAGAACCGAACTGGATCAAATAAGAGCCATCCTCAGATTTGCCGATGCAGAAGAAGATACTGACACACCACTACAAGTTTGGGTTAAGCAAGTGCGAAATGTTGCATACGATACCGACGACGTTCTCCAAGAATTCATGCTCCGGTTGGCACATCATTACGGGGCTGGAATTCGTGGTTGTCTTTGGAGGATTGCTTGCTCCGTGGCGAACCTAAGTGCTCACTTTCAAATTACTATTGAAATACGAAAAATCAAGCCCAAAGTCGAGGGTGTTTTTAAGACATACTCTGAGAGGTATAAAACCGCATATGATCGTTATCAAGGCCAGAGCAGCAATGCCGGCAGCAGCAACGAAACTCTTGACCGTCGAGGAGGTGGAGCTGAGCTTGTCGGCATCGAGGGGCCCAAAAACAAACTCATTACTTGGCTTCTTGATGATATTTCTGACCTCAAAGTGTTTTCGGTTGCGGGGGCAAGTGGATCAGGTAAAACCACACTGGTAAACGAAGTTTTCGAGGATGAACAAGTGAAGAAAAAATTCCAAATCCGTGCTTGGATCCGTTTATTACAAACATTTAACGAACAAGAGGTCCTGAAGGACATGATTGAAAAACTTTTCGATGAAATAAAGCAAGAAGTGCCTCAAAGAATGGAGACCATGAATGCCAACCAACTGAAAAACGTCATCAAACAATTCCTCCAAGAACGAAGTTATGTGGTTGTGCTAGATAATGTATGGAGCACAGATGTATGGAACGCCATCAAGCGTGCATTGCCTAATGGCAATCCTGACAATGGTGGCAATCCTGACAACGGTGGCAATCCTGACAGTGGTGGCAATCGTGTACTGCTCACAACTCAAATTAATGAAGTAGCCCATTACTCTAGCCCAAATTCCGATGATGTGCATGACATGCAGCCCTTGAATGATGAACAGTCTATGCAGCTTTTCTGTAAGGGGACATTCCAGAGCGAATGTTGCCCAAAACATTTAGAACAATGCGTAAAAAAAATCTTACGCACATGTGACGGATTGCCGCTTGCAATTATGGCAGCTAGTGGTTTTTTGTCTCGGAAGCGAGAAAACATAGAAGAGTTTGATATGGTTCAGCGCAACCTGACTGCCAAACTGGAAGGTCGTAACAAAGTAGAGCAAATCCGTAAAAGGTTGTCTCTCAGTTACTACGATTTGCCTTACCATCTCAAAATTTGTTTCTTGTACTTGAGCATATTTCCCGAGGGTTGTGAGATTGAAAAAACAAGAGTGATTCGACTGTGGATTGGGGAACAGTTTGTGCAAGAGATAGAAAACCTAACGTTGGAAGAAGTTGCTGAAATTCATTTCAATGAACTTGTCAACAGAAACTTAATCCAAGTGGCGAAGAAAACATTGGAGGAAAGAACCAGAACGTGCCGTATCAATGATGTTCTGCGGCAAGTTATGCTTTCCAAATCGAAAGAGCAGAACATTGTATATCTGGCTAGCACACCAGATATTCCAGAGAATGTTCGACGCTTAGCAATATACAACTCCATAGTAAATGCACGAGAAAGCAAGCGTTTTTTTCGACTTCGTTCTTTGCTCATGCTGGGGAACTCATCTTCTGTGTGCAGTTCATTCATATCTCCGCTTTTAAGTGGTGGGTCCAAGTTGTTCAAGGTATTAGATTTAACAGGTACTGCGTTAGAGACATTCCCAGAAGAAGTTTGTGAACTACTTCATCTAAGGTATCTTAGCATGAGGGATACAGGGGTGACAGACGTTCCCCAATCCATCAAAAAGCTTCGGAACTTGGAGACCTTAGATTTGAGGCATACCAAGGTAGCTGAGCTGCCTGTCGAAATAGGAATGCTTTGGAAACTTCGGCATCTCCTTGTTTATTATGACAAGCTTTCTGTGGGTTTTAAAGCCACTGGGGAAATAGAAAATTTGAAATCCTTACAAAAGCTTGTTACAATCGAGGCAGACCAAAGCAATGGCGCCGGTATAACGGGAGAGGTGGAGAAGCTTACCCAACTAAGGACCTTGCGCATCATTACAAGATCGAAACAAGAAGATGGAATGACCTTCCGCTTGTGTCTTGAAAATTTGAGCAACCTTCGCTCATTGAGTGTTGTATCAATAAAAGAGGATGATATCGTTGATGTGAGATCTTTATCCTCAAGTCATCAGTTTCTTAAAAAGCTACACTTGAGAGGACGTTTAATTGAGGTAACAAAATGGGTACCTTCTCTTTTTAGTTTGGTCAGAGTATGGTTTCAAGGGAGCGGGTTAATGGATGACTCACTTCAGTGCCTACAAGATTTGCCCAATCTCCTAGAACTTGGACTCATTAATGCCTATGATGAAGAGAAATTGTGTTTCAAGGCCGAAGGGTTTCAAAGGCTAAAGAGGTTACAGTTTGGTACGTTGAAGGCGTTGAAACGGGTGACAGTGGAGAATGGTTCCATGCCTTGTCTTGTGATGCTATCAATTAAGGCATGCGATAAATTGGAAGAGGTGCCATCAGGATTCGAACATCTACCCAACCTTGAGTCGCTTCATATAAATGGCAATGCTGAATCATGGATTCAAACCTTGTGGTATCAAGGTAAAAAAGGTGAGCACTACCCGAAAATTGCAACCATTCCCAAGGTCGTTATAAATGGTGATTTGGTGTGATTTTTTATTTTTGTTTGGTTTGGTTGGGAGGGAGAACTGGAGAAGTGAGGTTTGACATTGTATATTCCCGAATGCAAATCATCTCCGATGCATTGGCTCCTTCTCTTGGGGTCGGACCTGGTTGCATAATATCATGTTATATATTTCACTGGAATGTTGTCAGTAATTGATCCCAAGGGTCTCTATGTTCATCCATGATATTTGTTTGAAATAAAAATACAGCGATAATCCCTCAAATAGAAATGATTTTTGGAATTTAGAAGAATGTACTGTTACTCTACAATATAATATATGATTGAATTGTTATGGACAAAGTAAATAAAAGGTTAATAGTATTTTTGGTCCTCAAAATATGTATTTTTTGTTAGTTTAATCTTCATTGGATCAATTTTGTCGTTAAAACATTCAATTCGTATTATTTTAGTCTATATATAGATAGGTCGTTAAGTTTTTTACGGAATGATCACGTATTAGGCACATAATACCATCTAAAAAAATAACAAGTACTAAATAAAAAAATGCATACTTTAAGGATCAACCACCACTAGTTTCACTAACTTTCTGAGTCTGACCTATTTTACTATTGCTTTTTGCCCTTTCGTTGCGAGGAATGACAGTCAACTTGTTCAAAGGACTTTGTTGTTACCGGTTCTACATCATAAATTTAGTGCATTTGGAATAAGTTTTAACAATTCGAGTAATAAATATATAGACTTGTCAAATAAATGGATTGATATTATTAGATTTTGTGCTTGGGTCATTGACCTGAACGGGGCATCCATGTTGGGTCAACTCAATTATAAAATGAGACACAACTCTTAGAGGTACCCTTTATCACTCAAAATACATGTATGTTAAAAAGTTAACAGACATGTTTTTATAGGACATGCCTTATCATGACACTCATATTGAGGCAATCCAATAGAAGACATCTATGATATTTCATCTGACGTGCAAATTTCCTATCAAAGACTGTAATTCCATCAGGACAAATACTTAGCAAGACTTCAACCCGAACAGTTTTTATGGTCGCTGGAGCGGTGTCTGTTTTAGTTGTGTTTGAAACGCAGTTTTTACCCTCAACGACAACTACCCTCCCATCGATCGAGCGGGCGTTCGCAAATTTGAGTTTTCTTATTTACTAAAACTATCATTATTCCCAATTTATAAATAAGGAGTTCCTTTCCTACGTCTCTGTCAAGTCTTAAAGAGAGTTTTGGTGTGGGCATAATGTTGACTCAAAAACTTACCCAGATTTTAGTTTAAATAAAAAAGAAAAACAAACTTAATTTAATATGGACCTTCCAATGGATAAACCTTATTTCATACTTAAAGCTTGAATAACACATACCATTGTTTGTTTTTAACGATAGATTGGTTTGGAGTTGATGTTTTTTAGACGCAAAATAGAGGTTTAAAATATAGTGAAAAGTCCGTCACCAAAAGTTATTGAAACCATTTGGGTGGTCCGAAAAACTTTGATAAAGTTGGAAAAACCCATTTGAAAAGACTTTATAACTTTTTTTTGTTTTTTATGTCAAAATAAAAAAATAATCATATGTATACATAGATTGTGCCTAACAGTTCTCAAAATATGAATTTTAAATTTTTTGTATTACTAATAATATTTTATGAACTAATAAACTAAAAAATTGAGTGAGGTCAGCAAGAAAATCTCCTAAGAGGGGGTGAAAAAGCTTCAAAAAAAGTCTTCCAAAATGGCATTTCTGTTGTAAAAGCTGATAAAAAAGCCGGGCCAAAATGGAGAGCAAACAGCTGATAAAAAAGTGGATCCAACAAGCCCAACGACTCAATTTTGATTGCAATTTGGGCTAATTTCACCGTTGGATTTGGACGTGAAGCTCACGGCTTTTACTAGACCACCCCGCTCGGTACTAGGCACCCCATTCACTATTTGGTGGACATATTATCCATTTTTTTTTATTTTCTTTTGTCTTTTTCTTCTCCGCCCCTTCAACTTTTTTTTCCCGTTCCTTATCCCTTCCTACCTACGTAACCCATTAACACCCTAATTACACTTTTATCCTTTAAACTATTGATTAATCATAATTTACTTCCTAAACTAATCTTTTTTTAATAATTTCAATAATTGAATTTTAATCACAACATTAATCACTTTAATTCAATTTTAATCATTTTGCCAAAATTTAAACTTCACGCTTAGGGATTAAACTGCCTCAATCCCGACATATAACAAACTTAAATTTTAAATAATCATACTTATCAGCTCAAAACTATTAAAAATAATTTACTTTAACCATTATTAATAATTAAAGCAATGCTATTGGAACATAACTTAAGGACTTAATGATTATGGCCATTAGATTATCAATGGATCTCAACATTAAATTATAACTAGATCTCAACACTATCAATTCAATGGTTATAATGCATTAAGTCCCTAAATTGTATCTCAATAGTATTAGTGTAATAATTAAATACAACGCAATGCATAGCCGGATTTCACAGTTGGTCAAAGTTAGAAAGTAGTATTTCGTTAAACTAGTGTCCTAACCTGGAAGAGATGACAAATACTAAGGATTACTATATTGTAAATGATGAAACACCATAATCAGTGCATGGAGATTAAAATTTCGAATGAAAAACATATCACATTTGCCGGTGCGACATCCAAGTATGAAGCAAAGGTAGGTAAAAGTTAAAAAGCTCTATTAAGTTAAACTGTCTCAACTTGAAAGATGTGACTAAAAGTAAGGATTATCGGGTTGCAAATTATGGAATACTAAAATCGGTATGTGAAGAATGAAATTTTGCTTGAAAAAAATAGACATATTTGTGAATGTGATATCCGGGTAGAAAGTTATAATAGGTAAATAACACTAAGGATCATTGTGTTTCAAAGGACGGAACACCACAATCAGTAGGTGAAAAATAAATTTTACATGGAACACATATATCATATGTGTGAATGCGACATTCGAATTCAAAGTTAAGTTCGATGAAATCTGATTAAACTAATGTTCAAACCTAAAGGAGGTGACTATTACTAAGGATGGTGACAAATAGTGAGGATTATCATGTTGTAGAAAATGAAACACCGTAATTAGTGTGTGGAGAATGAAATTTAGAATAGAAAACAAATCACATTTGTGAATGCAATCTCATGGTACAAACATCGTGTTTTAGAGGATGAAACACTTTAATTAATGCCTGGAGAATTATATGAAAACGTATATCACATTTGCAAATGTGATACCCGAGTATGAAATTAAGATTGATCAAAGTTAAAAAACTCAAATTAGGTAAACTAGTGTCTAAATCTCAAAAAGGTGAATAATACTAAGAATGATAGCAAATATTGAGGATCGTCATGTTATAGAGGATGTAACATCATAATAAATGCATAGAGAATGAAATTCTACATGAAAAATATAGATCACGTTTGTGAATGTGATATTCAGGTTCAAGTGCAAAGTTAAGATTGAACAAAATTAAAAAACTCTATTTCGTTAAAACTAGTGTCTCAACTTGAAAGAGATGATAAATAAAAAGATATTATAAAAGATGGAACACCAAAATCAACACATGAAAAATAAAACACCAATATCACATTTGTCAATAAGAGTTTTGGTCGAGGTCGAGCTCTGCTCACCAAAAATGATGAGAGGAGTCCGAATTTGGGGGAAAAATGATCAATCAGGCTTGAACAAGTTGTTTAAAACTTTACGTGATCCTATGCCTTTGTTCGAATAGAGTACGGTTCAGTTCATTTGCAGTCCTGTGAGTGTTAGCTTCGTCCAATTACATGATGTGGCTCAGGAGCCAACCATGCTTGGATGCGTCCTCTAAACCATTTCGCGCACATCCACGTTGAATTGTTCCTGGCAAAACGCTGCATCAATTCAAGGCTAGGTTAAAATTCTTATGTAAGCAACGTATTAGCTTTGAATGCTGGTATGGTTTCTTTCAGTTTGCTGCATTGAACTTTTGAGATGTATGCAATGCGTATTTTATCAGTAACTAGGAGCAAGTTGATCATAATTTCTAAATACTGGTATACAAGCATATCATACGAGCAGTAAATTTCATGATAATACATAGAAGTTACAAATCCGGCAAAAATTAAGAATTACAATGCATAAGTCTGTAACATATTCAATCCAACCATGGTGCACCCACAAGTATTACCTAATAAGATTTATCGTGACCTGAGGAATGTGTGCGATTTTCAAATAATCCCCACCTTCACTATCTCGATCTTGCAGGATCTTAACCCATGAATCAACGCCACCAGATATAGCAAGTGATTGAAGGTTGGTTAGATGTTCAATTCCAAATGGTTCTTCCTCCAATTTGTCACATGCCACGATAGACAACTCCACAAGATGAGGCATGGCACCATCCTCAACGATCAACCTTCTCAGAGCCTTTGATCTACCAAAGTGTAACCTCTTCAGCCTTTGAAACCCTCCAGCCTCGAAACACAATTTCTCTCCCTCATAAGCATCAATGAGTCCAAGTTCTAGGAGATTGGGCAAATCTTGTAGGCATAGCAGTAGTGAGTCATCCATTAACTGGCTTCCATGTAACCACACTCTAGTCAGAATATGAAGAGAAGGTATCCATCGTGGAACCCCCTTTAAACGACCTCTCAAATATAGCTTTTGCAGAAATGGGGGACCTGAAGATAAAGATCTCATATCAATGATCTCAGCCCCTTCTACTGAGGCAACATTCAATGAGCGAAGGTTGCCCAGTTTTTCAAGGGATGAGCATAGGACCACTCCATCTTCTCTTCTTAATTTTGTGATGCGTAAAGTCCTTAGCTGAGTAAGCTTCCCTACTTCTCCCATTATACTTTCCCCATTCGTTTGGTTTGCCACAATCGTAACAAGCTTTTGTAGAGACGACAAATTTCCTATATTTGCTGGAGCTTTAAAAACAACCCCTTCAAGTTTGTCAGGATACACTAGGAGATGTCGAAGTTTTCCAAGCTTTCCCATTTCGACTGGCAACTCGTGAACATTGGTAGCTCTCAGATCCAAGGTCTGCAAGTTCAAAAGATTTCCGATGGATTTTGGAACGACTTCCACAATTGTATTCCTCATGCTTAGATACTTGAGAAGTAGTAGTTCGCAAACTAGATCTGGGAATGTCTCCATTGGAGCATCGCTTAAATCCAACACCCTCAAAAACTTAGAAACACCACTTAAGAGTGTTCGCAAACGTACAGATGAATTGGGTATTGAATATGAATCCCCATATACGAGCAGAGAGCAAAGTTGGTCAAAATGTTGGCTTTCTTGTACATTTTCCATGGAGCTCTGTATTGCTAAGCGTCGAACTTTTGTTGGCCCCATTCTATCTTGATTGCTGGCAACATGTACAATGCCTAACCCAGGCATCTTCGAAAGAATAACTTCAAACAAAAGATCAGTGACGCTGTATGTTCTAGGTCTTCCCTCCAATGTTGTCTTCGCCACTTGGATTAAGCTTCTATTAAAAAGTTCATTGAAATACCCTTCGGCAACTTCTTCTAAAGTCTGTTTTCCTCTTTCTTTCACGACTCCTTCTGCAATCCATAGTCGAATCACTCTCATCTTTTCAATTTCTTGATGCTCAGGAAACATGCTCAAGTACAAAAAACAAAATTTGAGACGGAAAGGCAAATCATAATAAATGGTAGACAGTAATTTTATCATTCTCTCAAATTTGTAACTGCCTTCCAGTGCAACACTAAGATTGCGTTGAGCCATCGCCCACTCGTCTATTCTACTTTTGTCCTTTAAAGCCAATGTGCCACTAATTGCAACAATTGCAAGTGGCAATCCCTCACATTTTCTTAATATGTTTTGTGCAAATACTTTTAAATGTTGAGGGCAGTGTTGGTCCTCGAATGTCTTCTTACAAAATAATTCCCAAGACTCATTATTAGACAAGGGCTTCATTTCGTACATGTAGCCAAGTGATTTTAAGCAGGAAGCACGAGCTACATCAAACATACGCGTGGTGAGCAGTACACGACTACCACAATTGTCATCAGGCAATACACACATGATGGCATCATATGCCTCTATGCTCCATACATCATCTAACACAACCACGTACCTTCGTCCACGGATGATTTCTCTGATGATTGATTGCATCGAGTCAATGCGCATCATGTCCACTCTTGTATGCCGTGGTTGCATTATCTGATCATAGAGTTGTTCAACTATGTTCTTCAAGAGCTCCACAATCTGACGTGATTGTGAAACAAGGATCCAAGCATAGAGTTCAAAGTGTTTCTTGACTTCTTCAGCCGCAAAAACTTTCTTTATCAATGTGGTTTTGCCTAAACCTCCCATTCCCACCACCGAAACCACTTTGAGACGAGAATCACCATCAAAAAGCCAGCTAAGGAGCTGTCGTTTGGGCATCTTGATGCCCACAAGCTCAGCTTCTTCTATTTGAGACGCATCATGTCGACTATCATCCCATGTGTTGCTAATGACAGCAGAGCTTGAGTCTGGATTTAGCCTCCAAAACTTCTCACGACTATTAGAAATATTGTCGACCCTTAACTTGATTCTTCGTATCTCGCGAGGCACCCGAAAGCAAGCTTCCAAGTTCTTAAAAAAGAAAACAATCTTTTGAAGAAAACCACAGAATCCAACCCCATGATGATGGGACATCAGGAGCATGAATTCATCAAGAACAACTGCAGTATCATAGGCAACGTCTCGAACTTCATCAACCCAAACTCTGAGTCCTGGGTCATCCTCTTCTCTAGCATCGGCATCTCTCAAGAAGACCCTCATTTGCTCAAACTTATCTCTGATCTGCTCAACTTCTTCCTGGAGACAATCTGATATTATTGCCTCTTCATGGAAAATGGGTTGTAGTTGGTCGAGCAGAGAGCACACCACAACCTCTGCCATTCTCTGTTATTGCTCGCTTCTCTTCAAACAGCCTCTGGGTGTCCAAAATTGCCTGTGAAAATCGTCAAAAGAGTGCTCCAATAAAAGTCGGCTAGCTTTCAACCAAATAAAAAACTATCTATATAATAGGAGAGTTAAAGACATTTGAATTTTATTCCCACATATATTTTATGCTTATTTTTATCACAATTTAAATCATTTAAATATTAATTAATTTATGGCTCAATATAATTTAAATTATTTTGAAAATTTAAATTTTTTTTATGTAATTTGAGAAAAAAAATTTGATTTTGATTTTAAATTAATTTCAAATTATGTAATTAAAGAAAATTGGATAGAAATCAATTTCAAATTATGTTAATTAAAGAAAGGAAAGGAAATAAAATGCTACGAACCCTTAAATTTTATGTTTTATCGTATCTTCAAACACGAGTTTTTGTTAATATATCAATATTCTTGACCTACATATCTACCAATTCAGGATCCAAAAGAATAATAATTTCTCTTGTTGATTATTAGTTGGCGGATGTAAGCAGTGGGATGCCTCTTAAAAAAAGTCTGTTTAAAGGCCCATTACCATTGATTATGTGTTGGATTAAAATCCTCTTTATTCAGCAGTAAATTGACAGATTGTATTGGGAATTAATGTCATTATTTATCTTGCAAAATAAAATGCTAAAACTAATGGGTTTGGGGACAATGTGGAAGGAGTAGTATATTTCAGGAGTCTAAGTGTAATTTTTCCTTAATACCACAACCGATTCCAATTTCCAGGTATGATAGCATAAAAGCAACAACTTTACCAAGGGTAAAATATGGAGAGAAATCCCTTTGGAAAAAAAAAAGGAAAAATTTCAGTTACACCCACTTTTAATTTATTATATTTATAAAAGACACCTTTTATTTTTTGAATTTTCACTGACACCCATATCAGATTAAAAGTGTTAACTAGAATATAATTTTACTAAATTTACCCATGATATATTTTAGGAAAAACTTCATCCACACCCTTCTAGATAGGCCTATCTTCAATGAGATCTTCTCTGTTTTCAAATTTTGTTTACATCTTAAAATTCGGGCCAATTAAAATTCGATTCGAACTAATTAAAATACATTTTTTACATATTAAAATTTTAGTCAATCAAAAATTATATTTTTTGCGTATTAAAATTAGAGTCGATTAAAATTTTATTCGAGCATATTAAAATTTATTTTTAATCAGCTCGAATCAAATTTTTATCAAATCATATTGAATTTTAATCAGCCCTAATTTTGATACATAAAAAATATAAATTTTAATTGACTCAAATTTTAATACGTAAAAAATAAGTTTTAATTAACTTGAATCAAATTTTAATAAGTAAAAAAATATAAATTTTAATTGACTCAAAACGAATTTTGATTGGTGCTAACAACTTAGGTAGAGCTCAAATCGGCTCGAATTTTAATACGTAAAAGAATTTTAATAGGCTTGAGTTTTAATACGTAAAAAAATAGAATTTAATCAGTTCGAATTAAATTTTAATCGGCTCAAATTTTAATACGTAAAAAAATAAATTTTTATCAACTCGAATTTTAATATGTAGAAAAATAAATTTTAATCTGCTCGAATTTTAATCAAATTTTATATACAAAAATTATTTGGGATTTATGTAGATGAAATTTTAGTATTTTATATAATTTTTTTTTTTAGAAATGATGGTTTAATGACAAGGGTCTCAGTTATGTTTTGAATAATATAGGGTGTGTCCTTGTAGATATGATAAACTAGAAAGGGTGGTGCTGAAATTTTTTCAAAAAATATGAAGAGATAATTTAGGAAAATTTTGATATTTCAAAACTTGAGTGCAGTTACCAGTGCATTTAGTAATGTTTTTTTTAAAACATTTTTATTATTGTTTGCATTTGTACTTTGTTAAGTAGTTTTTTTTTTTTTTACACTTCTACTCTTTTTTTTTTGTTAATTACGTTCTTAACTATGAATATATTTTCAAAAGGTTGATGGAATTTAAAAGGTGAATTATAGGAATGGCTGTGAATTGGAGCGGGGTAGTCTCCACCCTTGTACCCGCTTAAAAAAAGTTTGTCTATCCTGGTCCACCCGCTAACGGGGATAGTTTTTTTTCTAGCCCCGATAAATTCTATTCTCCGCCCCCTCTCAGGCCAAAGCCCAACATAATCCAATATTTTAAATGATCCAACTTAATTATATAATATAACTCTATTCTGCCAAATGCACCAATAAATAATTGGGGCTTAGGGAGACCGGTACCTCCCTAAAAACTTAATAGAATAAAAGTACACATTTTAAAATTATTGAGATAGAAGTACATCTACTAAAAAAAAGTCATAAATGGTTTTTTACCCCTATCATAAATAGTGCATACCTAATTGAATGTGAGATTTTCAAGATTAAAATGTGAGAATTTTAAAATTCTTTTTGATATTTGTGTATTATTTGAATTTTGAAATTATATATATATATATATAGTAACATATATATTTACCTACTTAAAGAGTTGTATCTAAAGAGAGACTCGAAAAATTGTCATGCAAACAATGACACCAAAGAGAGACACGAGATAATGACAACGGGGGTACAATCAATAACATCATATAATGCCCCCTTGATAATGCCCAAGTAGTGTCAGTAAAGAGTGACAACAATAGATTAATCATAAATGATAACAATATATATTTGTTCACTCAAAGAGTTACACTTAAAAAGAGACTCGAAAAATTGTCATACAAAAAGTGTCATCAAAGAGAGACACGGTATAATGACAACGAGGGTCTAATTAATGGCATCATGTAATGTCCCATTGATAGTGTCCAAGTAGTGTCAGTAAAGAGTGACAATAATAGATTGACCCTAAATGATGACAATATATATTTGTCCACTCAAAGAGTTGCACCTAAAGAGTGATTCGAAAAATTGTCATGCAAATAGTGTCACCAAAGAGAGACACGAGATAATGATAACAGGGATCCAATTAATGGTATAATGTAATGTCTCCTTGATAGTGCTCAAGTAATGTCAGTAAAAAGTGATAACAATATATTAACCCTAAATGATGACAATATATATTTGTCAACTCAAAGAGTTGCACCTAAAGAGTGATTTCGAAAAATTATTATACAAACAATGTCACCAAAGAGAGACACGAGATATTGACAATGGGGGACCAATCAATGGCATCATGTAATGTCCCCTTAATAGTGTCGAAGTAGTGTCAGTAAAGAGTGACAACAATAGATTGACCATAAATGATGACAGTATATATTTGTCAATTCAAAGAGTTATAACTAAAGAGGGACTCGAAAAATTGTCATACAAACAATATCACCAAAGAGAGACACGAGATAATGACAATGTAAGTTCAATTAATAACATCATGTAATGCCCCCTTGATAGTGTCCAAGTAGTGTCAGCAAAGAGTGACAACTAAACTATTGTTTGATATTACTATTTTTTTGTTGAACATATTACTATTTGATATTACTATATGTGTGTGTGTGTGTGTATATATATATATATATGAAATTTCAAATTTTCAAAATTTAAACAAATATTAAAAGAAATCTTGAAAGTCTCACATTCTAATATTTAGATATTGAAAATATAAAAGTTGTCAATTAGTTATGAACTATTAATGGTATGGGTAATTATGAAATACATTTTAAAAAGAATTTAAAAATGTTTTAAGATGTGTACTTATTGACAACTATTTGATGAAATTTTTTTTTAAGGAGGATAAGTTTGAAAGTGGTACTTAAATCCAAATAAGTTTTGAAAAAGGTACTCACATCTCATTATCTCTAAATAATTTCGACTAATTCTATCAAAAACACTTTTTGACAACCTTTGATTTTAATCCTTAGAATTTGTAATGTCAAATAAATAAGCAAATGAGTTTTGAGGTTTAATTTACAATAAAATGCATCTATCGGTTGATAATTATCACAAATTACACCTAATTGAACAAAGATGACAAAAAAACCTAATTATAACAAAACAAAGAACGCCAACAAAATCCTAAAAACCCACACTTCAGATTGCTAAAAAACCCAAAATAGAATTCACCATGCTTAAAATGTTTAAATAGTCTAAGCAAAACCAGTATTCCTACAACAAGCCACAAAAATTAAAGAAGATGATAGCATTACTTGGTCAACGACCAAATTAAAGCAGAGAAAGAAGGCAGGAGAAGAAGATAGATTGATAGATCGATAGATAGAGAAATAGAGTAGGCGTTACCTGGTCAACAACGTCTTCTTGGCAGAGTGTAGGCGACTAGAGAAGGCAGCAAGTAACTAGCAAGAGAGAGAGAGAGAGAGAGAGAGAGAGAGAGAGAGGGCTGTGTGGGCGACGTGAGACGTAAGGGATGAATTGTCTGAATTAGATTTAAGGCTGAGGTGGAAGTTTGTATATTTTTATAAAAAAATTAACAAGATTAGCAAGAGGCAGGGAGAATTGTAAGTGTCGATCTACCTCCGCATAAGTTTATATGGGTATTTGTATATATGTTTATCATCTAATACGTATAGTCTATTCTAATTTAAACGAGTCGAGTTTGGACGAATCTCTATTTTTCTCTGGCCCACTGTTACCCTAGTGAACCGATAGTTTATTAAAAGAATAAAAGTGATGTTTCTTAAGATGAAATGGAATATGACTAATGAACTTTCGGTGGACAATATTTTTATCCCAATAATTGATGCCTTCAAAGTTGAACAAAGACAGCTAGCTCATTTAAATTTTAAATGCAAAAGACAATTGATTGCATCATGATCAATATTTATTGATATGCGAGGACAAGGTCACAAGGTGATAAAGCTATAAAATAAAAATGAAATTACAAGGCTTATAATTTTCGGTGGTAGTGAACCCATCCAATATCATAATTCATACGTTTGACTACGAAATCGAAACTTATAATATTTGAGGATTAAGTTAAAAGAAAAAAAAAATTATCCATGATATGTTTTAGGAAAAACTACATCCACACCCCTCCAGATAGACATATCTTCAATGAAATCTGCTCTGTTTTCAAA